AGGTAACCAAGCTGTCCCTTGGTTGCTGTTATCATCACAGAAAACCATTATGCCATGGTTTCGGGAAAATAAAAATAATCATTAAGACTGCTTCAGAGCCTCCTTCAGCAATGTTCTTTCCTCTCTGGTCCAAAACTTCTTCCTGTAAAGACCAGGCCATATGACCTGGACGTCTCACTTCCACACTGATAGTCTGTGATCCTGGTGGAGCTGCAATTCACTCAGGACCACTTCCACGCTTCTCACGTGTGTTCTTCTAAAACCATTCCCTATTACATACATCTTTAAGTGTTGGGGAATTCTAGTATCAGGCACTAAGGGAGTTGCATGAATCTATGCCATGTGGTGAGTGTGTATTTATACACCTTGTGAATGTTACAGGTGTTAGACTCTAATCCAGCATAGCCAGAAACACTGCAGCTCGTCCCCTAAGGCTCTTCCTACTATGAAAGCCCTGGGGCATAATGAGGGCTACTTAGGTACTAAGTACCTTTGATTTCTTTCCAACTGGCATTCTCCTTTGCACTCCTCATAATCTATTAAACTAGTTTATTCTTCAAAATAATCACTTTCAGCATTCCTTGACTTTCTCATTCCTGTTGTTCTTGTGCCTTGAATTCCACGCCCGTCCCATAACACATGAAACCCAGTGAATGCAGATGCTGCCTGTCCCATGCAGTTCTCCCTGACACTGAAAGATGTAAGGGACAATGTGGGTATTCCTGTTTTTGTCTTCTGGCAACTCCAACACATGGTCGAGTCACTTGATAAGTAGCACATGGAAACCTTTTTTGTGTCACTGTGGATTACAAATATGCTTACCTCTTCCATAAGCATAGGACTTACCCTACAGCAAGGACACATTGATACTAAGCTTTACATCTCCAATAACTAATTCAGAGTGGGATCTCAACAAATGTCAGGTGACTGGAGGAATGACTGTGTAAATATGTGGAATTAAGCTGTTTTCCAAATCAATACACAGATACACAAGCAAACAGAACTAAAGTCAGAAAACTGGGAGTGAAAAATGTTCCTTGAATAAAAAAAGGAAAATGCTTTAGTAAAACTCCTTTATAAGAGGTCAGACACTTTTCCAGGTTGTTAGGTGAACAGAGTTCCCTGGGACCTCTTACTGTACAGCATTCCACATACATGTCGTTTACCTGAGACCCGTGAGTCACAGCAGCCTACAGAAGTGATTAAGGGATACGTTGAATCAACAATGCAGGCCTGATTATGAGAAATCACAGACCTACTAGCCTACTTTAAGTATTCAGATGACTCAGTAGATTCTGAAATTTGCTTTGGATAAAAAAGGGAAACATCAAAGTTGGGCATTAACAGTCCACATTTCTAGGACTCTTGAAGTACCTTTTAATTACAATATGACACAGACTACTGTAGACATCTTCTCTTGGCACATATATTTAATAATTTAAGTATGTGATTATTGTTCTCACAGCATATAATTATGTTAACCAACAAATACTACCACATCTAATTCAGTTCCACCAGAGTGAAGATAATTCAGAAGGATGAGCTGTATTTCCCAATTAACTCTTGCTTTCCTAAATTAGAATAATGAAAAAGAATTAGAATGGGCCATCCTTTAATTTCTGAATGGAGCAGGCACATTGAAAGCAGACTTTATCCTAATAATGAACTTATTCTACTTAGGGATCATTGTCATTGTTTTTTTAACCTTCTAAATGTTTTTCTATTCATAGGAAAGAAATACTCAAAGGACACTATCACTCACGTGACTGACTGCATAGTTTATATCAATGGGAAAAACATAAAAACAAAACAAACAAAACCTAACAGCCTCAGTCAGGTTTTAGAAATTAAAATCAGGCCCCGCCCTAACTCCAGCATCCACTTGTACTCACACAGTAGTCAGACAGCCCAAAATAACTCTCTTCTCTTCTTGATGAGTCTCGGTTTCCTCATCCATGAAATAACCACACCATGTATATATCTCAGAATTGAGATACCTTTAACTCAACCAAGTGAAAATATATGTGAAAGTGCTTCATGATCAGCTCTGCCCTGGCTGATAACTGTGAATGTGTGTGCTCGGATGATGTTCAAACAAAACGGAGCTACTGAATAACTCTATTAAAATGCAGTGGTTTGTGGGAGGCACAGATAGACACAGTCTTAAAGAATAAAGACTATTTTAAGAAAAAGCCTCAATACATAATCTCTTCAATAAATAGTATTAGGTTATAAAAATTTAGGAAAGAAAAAATTTTGGAAGGGGAGGGGAGTGGAGGGGAGGAGAGGAGAGGAAGAAAGAAGGGGAGAGGAGGGGAGGGGAGAGGAGAGGAAAGGAGAGGAGAGGACCTTATATTTGCAATGGGCATAATACAGCTAAGTCTAGTGGCAAGTCAGTAGCCTAGCTGTCCTCAGAAACTAGGCTTGGCAGAGGAGAGGGAGAGGGAGAAGAGAGGAACTCATATGTTCATTGGGCATAATACAGCCAATTCCAGTGGCAAGTCAGTGGCCTAGCTGTCCCAAGAAACTAGGCTTCACATATTTGATTCAAATTGAAAAATTGCTCAACAATGGCCAGAAACTCTGAAGTAAGCAAGGCTTGCTGGAGACTATTTCTCTCACCTGGGCCCATTCTCCCGCCTCTTTCTAGAGTTGATTTTGTTTCCTGTGTTCCTTTGTCATAATAAATTTTAGCTTTGCCTTGAGTGAGTACCTTCCAATAATCCCACACTCTACAAAAGACAGGCCGGCATCTTGATCTGACATTCAAGCGTGTCCACAGGCTGTCAGTAGGAAACCTTCAGACTCATAGTCCACTTTACGCATTCAGCAGCGTCATCTGAAGCCACCAAGGTGCTTGCAGTTCCCTAAATGCAGCCTCGCACTTGCTGCCCTGTGGCTCTGGCTGTTTACCCATCTTGTGTCCCAACACACTGTCTCACGCATCTGTCCAGCTGAACAAACTAAGTTTCCTGATAAGAATTCTTAGATTCTGGCTCAGCGCCCATAGTTCAGCGGTTAGGGAGCTGGCCACATACACCAGGGCTGGCGGATGGATTCGAACCTGGCCTGGGTCTGCTAAACAACAGTGACAGCTATAACAAAAAATTAGCTGGGCCTTGTGGTGGGCACTTGTAGTCCCAGCTACTTGGGAGGCTGAGGCAAGAGAATCACTTAAGCCCAAGAGTTGGAGGATGCCGTGAACTGGGATGCCACAGCACTCTACCAAGGGTGACACAGTAGGACTCTATCTCAAAAAAAAAAAAAAGGAATTCTTAGATTCTTAGATTCTGCAACCTTTAACCTTGAAAGAGTGTATCACTCTCTTCCTTGTACTTCTGCAATATAGGCTGTAGTTTAACTTCTATGACATAATGGGCTATAAGAAGATGACAACTGGGTCCTCATTCTCTTTCTTTTAACCATCCGCGTTCCTGTCCCCATCAGTTCTCTGGAAGGACCACAGTGCCTGCTGTATTCTAGCAGCTTAGCACATATTTACAGAAGGGAAGTGCATTTTCGCTGCAGACAGAGCTGGTACAGCCAGGAGCGTAGACAGGTAAGGAGCAGCCGAGCTCTAGCACGATTTGCCTTGTGCTACCCCATATAGCTGGCAGCCCCACTAGATGTTCAGAAAAGTATATCTAAGGAGGGAAGGACTGCAAACTCATGTGCAGCTAGGCTGAAATGACTGGCAGCACAGAAAGGGACTGGTTTGTAATTCGTGCAAGAAACCATTGTTAATAAAGCTGCTGCCGTTCAAGAATCGGAAAGGGACTCAGAGTGCTGTGCACACTGTCACCTAGTCAAGCAACCGTTGTGCAAGTATCAAACCACAATGACAATAAGACCTGTCTAGAGTTTGCATCTAGAGTTCTGACGGCTGTCTTGTGAGGAGGCCCTGAAATAGATTTACCATGACCCTGTCACGACTTCAAAGATAGGGAAGGATCACTAGCAGTGGAGGATCAGCTTCTAAAATGCAGATGATGAACAAAAACAGAGAAAAATAGCCAATCCCCAAAGGCAGTGAAAAAGGCCAGCTAAATATCAAGGCACCATTTGCACTTAAAAGATACAGATTACTCACACTTATAATCCTTGCACTCTGGGAGGCAGAGGCAGGTGGATTGCTTGAGCTTAGGAATTTGAGACCAGCCTCAGCAAGAGCAAGACCCCCATCTCTATTAAAAATAGAAAAACTAGCCAGGGATTATGATGGGCACCTGTAGTCCCAGCTGCTTGGCAGGCTGAGACAAGAAAATCACTTAAGCCGAAGAGTTTGAGGTTTCTGTGAGCTATGATGCACAGCACTCTACCCAGGGCAACAGAGTGAGTGACACTCTGTCTCAATAAAACAAAACAAAAACAAAAACCCCACAGATTAATTGCTACTACTTATTCTAGTAAATTTGAGGGGAAACTGATATATTCTAATTGGTGCCAATATAAGCTATTCAGAATCCTTGGAAAGAAAAGTAAATAAAGTGGTCTTATTGCAGGAATCCTACTCTTGGGAGTCCGGTGATGGGAAATAGCTCCAAAGAAAATACATACAAGTAAGTTCTTTGTAGCATTGCTTATAACAACAACAAAAAAGGAAACCACCTCGATATCTAACATAAGTAATTCATTACGAAAGACAGTCCCTAACCTTAGCATCCCATACCCAAGCTAAGTCATACTTGTGTAGAGCATCACAAAACGTAACAAAATATCCCTATAGGCAAAGCTAGAAAAGGACCAGAGGACCAGAATGACAAGAGAGTTACTTGTTTATACTTTATATAACACTGTGTGATTTTCAAGGAAAGTACTCAAAGTCACTTTAGGAATTTTCTGGCAGTTAACTAACATGTGCGGATATTAAATAAAAAGATAACTTAGACCATTGGCTCAGACAAAGAATGTCAGGGCTAGAAGGTGGAGCTTGTTCTTTCAGAGAAGAGTGGAATATTCATGGTGCTCCTTGCGGAGAGACATTTATGAACAGTACTAACCTGTGGAGGCCGAGGCTTGTACGGGGAGCTGCACTCAAGATCAGCCAAAATACTGGTCAGGGAATCGATCTCTGCATCCAGGCTGGAACGTCTTTCCTCCAGGGTCTTACCTCCAGGATTTCCCTGCAGGAAGCAACACATCCATGCTAAGAAAAGGAAATTCCCACTAATAGCAGTTCAAGTTCAAATTCCTCAGGTTATCTGAGGGCTTTGTCTTAATTTTTCTGCACCTCATTTATTTTTTAGCTTTTATAAAGTCTCAGCGAAGTAGACGGGGGCAAAATTACCTCTTTGTGACAGATAAGGAAACTGAAAAATACTATAAGGTGCCTTTCCTGAGGATGCATTTATTTAGAAGGATTTTTCTTTCTTTAGATGAGAACACCAGGAAAAGGAAATAAATGTCTCCAGCCCTGCACTTAAGAGATAAAAGCAACTGAAGAGATCTCACAGGCTCTCTGCATTCACAAACCATTGTGAGGATTATGAGATTTTATTGGAGCTGCAAGGGGCAAGAAAGAGAGACTGATAGTCCAGAAAGAGGAATCAGCGGCTAAAGACATGAGTGATGAGTGCTAGGGAGTTTGAGAGTCAGTGGGTATTATTAGGGGTGTGTGTGTGTGTGTGTGTGTGTGTATGTGATAACACCCATGTGAAGCTCCTAAAACATTCAAACATCAGAGTTCTGGCCAAGGGCTGCCAAGGGAGCAAGGGGCCATGGCAGTGAGCGCTGATGAAGTCTGGACCTATGGACTCCACACGTCAGTGGCTGTTACCCTACACTCAGAATCAGTTAAGAGTGGCGGACAGGGCAATAACATTGCCACAGGTCCAGGACATTATGAACAGGTTTGGGAAAAAATAAGCAAAATTCTTAAGAGTTCAAGGCAAGGAAATATAAAGGGAGGTGGCCCTAGGATTTAGAGGCAGAGTGAAGTGAAAATAAAGTATTACAGTGACAATGCAATAATGATCATGTATGTGTGATGTGAGTGTCTCTGAAGGCCCCATCAAGAGACCAAAGTACATCTTCAGCAAGACTCAACAGGAATGAAATAGTGGACAGTTACTATAATCTCATCAACTTGGCGGGACTTGTCTTAGGAGGTTAAATGCCAAGATAGTATCTAGTGTCTGCATGAGTTTAGATAAAGCATTAGCCAGGAGACTAGAATATCTTCAGTAACAGCAACAACACAACAAAATAGAGTGCCCTGATAGACTAGCATTAACTTTCACAGCTACTGGAGTAAATTGGCCTTCTAGTGACCATGTGGTACATGCAAAATGCACAATGGCGTTACCTGTTAAGCTCAGAGCTTCTTTTGCCCTAGTAACTTGTTCACTTGCCACCTTCTCTGAGTCCTAGAGCTTATTTGAAATGTCTTTTTGTGCAAAAAGAGCCAACTTGCTGGCTCTGTTGTATTGTGTTGGTTAATTTCCTATGAATTTAGCCAGTGTGAGTTCACTCCTGGTCCTGATCTACCCCAGGCACGTTGACAGCGTCACCTGCTTATGCTGCTGTGGTCCAGGCCCTTGGAGCGACACCTAGATTGTCACCTACCATGCAAAGACACTCGGCTTCCTTGTTTGTGAGCTCACCTTAAATATGGATTTCACGGTTCATATCACATAAAGCAGCCTCATGATTTTCTCATCCTGGATATACTGTTGTGACCCTTCTGGTTACCCCATCCCCTCATCGTGATTTTATTTATTTTTCTAATAATATCCACTGCCATCTAACAGTACCTTTTATGTGTATTTGTCTAATCGTTACCTGTCTCTCCCTAGAACGTAGAGGCTTCATGAGAGCAAGAACTTTGTCTGGTTTGTTCCTGTTTCCCTAGAAACCTGTTTGCAGCCTGACCATGTAAGTGTTCCATAAATATTTTTGAGTAAATACATCAATGAATAATGACAGACTCTGGCATTGATTCAGCCAGGAACCTTTTCTTTTCAACATATTTTGGGTCAAAGCAGCTCGATGTACAACAGGAAGGAGTGGATGCTCTGGGATGTGGGGTTTTAAAAGGCTCAAGGTGCATATGTGTGCACACGTGTGTACATACGTGTCAGGCTATATGGCCTAGACTGTGAAACTGAGAGATTTCCCTATCATCATACCCCTGCCATTTAAACCTGATGGTTAAATGACCTGCCCATTCTATTTTATGCTAAAATAGAACTAAAAATAGAAAAACAATGAGAAGACAGGGAGATTCTCTCCTCTCAGTGTCCGAATTTCCAATCTGATTAAGCTCTCTAAGGCCACTAGGTCTTTTACCCAAGATGTGTCTCTATCAGATATCTCATCTTTATCTCAATGGGCATTACTAAGAAAAAGATTTCTTTAACATGTAAAATTCATGTAGTGGGTCACAACAAGGAAAGGCAGGGCATTCTAATTATGGAAGGCAATGGGGAATCAAGGGAACTTGCTTCTCATGTGTGAAGATATAAAATATCATAATAAACAGAAATTTCATGAGTATTATATACTTCTGCATACTCACAGACCGCATTCTCTATTGGCAAATAGAGAAGTCTGATTAATTATTTTTCCCCTGGGCCATAGTTTCCTCTCCTATAAAATGAAGAGAACATCATCTGCCCCAACTAAGCCAGAGGGATGTTACAAGACTCAGATAAGAAAATGGATGGGAAAATACTTTGTGAATTGTAAAATGATATTAATTATGATGATTTTCATAAATAGCATTAATTATAGCAACCAGTAACTATAAATTAATATGAATAATATAGCTATTGTTAATTATTCTTCTTCTTAAGGGAAGCATCATTCATTAAGCGTTCCCTTGGGGTATCGGCAAAAAGAAAAGATTTAAGCAGCTCTTCAACATCTGGGCTTTATTGTGGCAGAATATGTATCACTGCCTAGGCCCTAAGTCATTACAATCGCTAACCCCGAGACACAAAGTCCTACCCTGAGCCGTGCAAGGAAACAAGTCCTTGTGGTGAACAACCAGCCTGTGCTTGTAAAGGTTTCAGTTGGTTTCCCACCTTCCTATTCTCCCTCCCCTCCAAGCTGGCACTGCTCCCCATTTTCAGTTTCTCCAATTAGATTGATGTAATTTATTAACAAGTTCCAGCCTAACACTGTGGAACTTTGCATAAAAACCAGACAACTGGGTGACAGGAGGTGGGGGGAGGCATGGAAATATTCTAACAGTTGTGCTCCTGCATGTCAATCCATTATGACTTAGAATGGGTCTCTTCATCACTCTCAAGTCTCCCTCTTATGTCTCAGGTCAAATAACTAAGTCTCACTCCAAGTCCCACCACCAGTCCTTCCCTTGGAACTCTCAGCCACTCTCTTTGTACCTACAAGTTTAAGGGCTACCTTGCTATTCCCAGCACCTTCTACTAGATACCAGGAACAGCAGTCCTCTACCCAGCTAGCAGGACCCTGCAGACTTACCAACAAGTCTTCGCTATCCTCATAGCATTGCCAGTTAAACCTGACGGTTAAATGAGCTGCCCAAGGCCAAACAACCAGAAGACCTTCTCCCCACTCCTTGCCTACTGCTTTTCCAGACGCCACAGGAACATCTGTGAAGTGGTTATTGTAAAAATAACAACCCCCGCACTCTTCAGCCATACTAGAAAGACTCCATTGCCTCAGTCTAGGTTCTGGGGGTGAGGAGGGTGCCAACAATGGCCAGGACAGACATTTGCATGTAGGCCATTTATTTTGGGAATGAATCTGAAGAAACAGCACCAAGGGACAGGGAAGAGTTAAGCAGAGAAGGAAGGTAGGACAGCTCAAAAGTGTTAGACTGAGCTGGTCAGCAAGGAGGGAAACTAGGGCTCCATCCTCCTGGGAGTCCTCTGAGGAGTCTTGGAAAGTGTGCCTCGGATGGTTGCACCTCAGGGATGGGAGGACAGATATTTATACTCTGGCTCTAGTTTCTAGTGGTTTAGGCTTGCCTTTGGGGGTTCATCCTCCCTTACATTTATCCCAAGAAGCAGGATGGTGACAGAGAATGCCCAGGACAGGAAATGAGTGGAAGGCAGTACCACTAGGTCAGCTGTTAGCAGGCCATGCCTGTGCACAGCTGGTCACTGTAGCAAGGGCTGGTGTATGGAGGCAGAAAAAAAGGGTGGGAGGTAGGGCACGAAAAGTGTTGGATGACCGCGTCCTTTTTACTAACAACACCCCCAGGAATATGCCGGTCATACGATGTTATTTTCTATAAGATACATGTTTCTATTCATTCTGCAAACATATATGTGATCAAAGCTAACAAAACCATACTTGGGGTTTATTATGCCTTGTGAAATCATAATTCTCAGTGCTGCCAGTAGAATTAGGGGCTGATGACTCTCCTACTATACGTACATGGAACAAGAGCCTGGAAGCAAGACGCACAGCATGCGAATGAAATAAAGTCAGGCCAGTGGTAAGAGCCTAACTTTTCATGGGTAATATTTTACCCCAAATATCACTGAGCCACTAACTACAGATGACAGACAAGGACTACCAGTAAGGAGGGTGAAAGGACATTCGTTTCTACTTAAATTTTTCTTTTTTATAGCCAAATGTTTATTTTAAAAGAAATTTAAACACACAGAAAAGTTGTACAAGTGGTCAAATCAACCCCATTCACGCATTCTTTATGCAGATTTACCAATGGCCAGTATGTCACCACACTGGCCCTCTATTTATATACATTCCATTTGCTGTCACAGTTAAACCATTTGTAAGATGGTACAGAACCCCAATATGCATCTCAGCTTGCATCTCCTGAGAACTCCTAATTTTTTCAATAACATTATCACATCCAAGAAATTTAACATGGGTGCAGTATTATCTAATATGCACATGTGCTCAAATTTTACCAGGGTTCCCAGCAATGTCTTTTTATCTATTGCTGTTAATTTCTATCTAAAATCAAATCAGATATCACACATTAAAACAGCAAGCCTTTTTAGTCTATTTTATTTTATAAATGGGCATCTAGCCTATTTTTGTTTGTCATGAAGCTGACTTTTGAAAGAATTCAGGCCAGGTGTCTTATAAAAGTTCAGCAATCTGGTTTTATTTAATGATTAGGTTCAGATTAAACAAGTTTGGCAAGATTATTATATGTATGATGCCA